AAAAAAAAAAAAAAAAAAAAAAAAAAAAAAAAAAAAAAAAAAAACGGACATTAGAGTCTCAGAAGAGGTGCGATTAAGGTTTACGGACAGTAGGTCTACAAGAAAAATGGCTACAAAAACAAGGGCTACCTTTTTTGGCCTACAGTCAAAATGGCTACATGAAAATGCCTATTAAAATAATGTCTATAGTAAAATATGTCTGCGGTATTAAAATGTCTACGATTTGACTGCCTACTCCAAAAATGTCAAAGTTCGTATTTATGTCGTCTAATCAGAATCTCATTTGAGCTGTCGAATGTTTGAACAGTTATTGAATCAAAATTGGGCGTTACAAGTCATTTTTACAAGCGTTGAGGAAGGAAAAATTGTGAGTCACATATACAACAAGTATATTTTATTTATTTTTTTATTTTATAAATATATTTTATATATTTTTAGTGGCCAACATAAATATTTTGACATTTTCTAAGTGGGCAAACAAACCGTAGAAATTTTAATAGCGTAGACATATTTGACTGTCTGTAGACATAATTTTAGTAGGCATTTAAATGTAGACGTTTTGACTGTAGACTGAAAAAGGTAGCTCTTTTTTTGTAGCCCTTTTTTCTGTAGACGTACTGTCTGCATACCGCGATTAAAATATGCTTTTGTCCCAAAAAAGAAGACAATGTAAGTCATCAAACATTACGGAGTTTACTTCGATAATCAAACACTTACTGCGAAGCTTGTGAATATTAAGCTATGATTGCGTTGCATAATATAATGAATGCAATTTTATGCATAGTTCAATGAATCCAAAGAATCTACAAATAAACAAATGACAACATAAAATATACAACTTAATAAATATTACAACTTTCTTTAATAATAAAAATTAAATGGGTGTAATTCGGAACGTTTGATACGTTATTCCTTGGCACGACAGTGCTGCTGTGCTAAGGAAAAACGCCGTATGAGCCATCAATTGTTGCCCAATTTCCCCTGGCAAATCATAATTTTCAGGAAAATTTTTGAACGTATGTCTACCAATTTCTCAGATAATTTTGTTTGTAATTTGATCTAAAACATCCGAAAATTTCAAGGGAAAATATTCATAATTATCCTCAAAAATGAAGATTTTATCGAAGGAAATTTGGCATCTCTTGAATGTTCATACAGCGTTTTTCCTTAGCGCGGCAGAGTACGTGATATTCGGTTTATCATCGGCATATGTCGTCGGTCATCGTTACAGCACGTGGATGCATGGATGGATCTCCTCATAAAGCTGAGGGCGCACTGGGCACTAGCTGCGCACTGACGTGACAACAACGCCTGAATGCAAATATTCGTGCTTAATGAACGTCTCTGTAGCATATCTTCGCCTAACTGACGTAAGGGCGTAACTACACTCCACAATGAATCCTGTTTTCCAGACAATTCAATAAGTTCCTGGGCTCATCTCAATGTGTGGTTACGCCCTGCAGTGTTCGGAACTGACAGGCGCCAACGCGCGCCGAAGAAATCGGTCATGCCACCTAAAAAATGAAGGCTCCGCGCCAACGTGACCCCTTAAAATTGCCCCCATCCCATAAAAAATCTTATTTTTTCTGTTTGGTGATTTTTCGAAATTCTCCACAAGCTACCGTTACCAGTTCTCTACTAAAACATCTAACTTTGCACTAAATGCACCGTGTTATAAAAGCAAAAAGTCAATCTGGCCCCTAAAAAATCTTCAATGGCCCCTAAAAATCAAGCCTCATAATATGGCTCCGAAACTCAAGTATAAGTTTCGAACAATGCCCCTGTGTCAGCCAAGCGACGATATATGCACGCTTGAGATTACGGTTCGTAACAGCTTTTCGCGTCAACTTGCGTATTTGAACCTCAGAAATCCGCATGACAGGTCACGGTATAAGGAGAGCAATGAATGTAATACTTTCATCATAGATGATGATACTCGGGAAAAAATTACATCTGATTTATGTTGCTGATTTCTCGCTATTTGCAGTTTCAAAAGTGAGAGATAAAATGCCAGAAAAAAAGAAAGAAAAAAAAGGCCAATGAAAAGTGGGTCTGATGATCCCTAAATAATGGCTCGACTTCCCTCACGGTTAACGTCACATCCTGGGAATGCAAAAATAACTATAAGAACAGTAAAGTCATCCAGAAATGTCCCGAGACACATTTTTTACAGCTTAGGCCGTCATTTATTTCATTTTTTCCGTGTCATGATTATTGATTGGGCATAATTTGTTTGGTTCGTTCTTCTTTTGCATTCATTTGTATTAATAGTTCTCCTTTATAATTCGTAGAATATCCAGGAAAAATGTCAAACAATGACGTTCCTATGTTTTTCTTTAGAAAAAAATAAGATCCAAGATATTAAAATTTCGCAAATAATGTAAGAGTTACTTTGGATCTGAACTAAATTTTGCAATGAAGAACTACCATTGCTGGCTCATCCATAAAAGCACCTATGTAAATAGGAAAAGGAATGGCACAAGTGTTGTGTTTAAAGTGTACTAGAATTATAAGGGCATTTTTATTGGAAAATTTAGTTCTGTCAGTCGATTTTACATGAAAATGGTCAAACCCCCCGGGCACTTCGTACCTCAGGTGTTATGCGTTGCTCTTTTGATTTTATAGTATAAAAAATGTGTGGTAGTTACATTAATCAAAGATGACGACTCTCAAGAATATGGGCCTTACTGCACAAAGGCATATTCTTTCAATAGCGTAATTTTTGTCAAGTTTTATCGGCTGGAGACTCGAGATTTGATGGGGACTGAGGGACATCAGAGTTCTAGGGATCAAGTTTCTAACGATTTAACGTTACTTTTCTCAAACCTCTCAATAATAATATTTTCTAATCTCCTTTTCCTATCACGTTGAGGTTAACAATTTGTTCAACCTTAGTCAACAATATTTGGACGTATTTACGCTAAAAGGAACTAAGTACATAAGATTTGCGTACAACATAGTTCCTTTTAGCATAAATACGTCCATTTAGTGCATTGTATTAAAGTTGATCATGAAATATTATTATTTATGTTTTGGGCGAATAATTACATTTTATTAAAGACACTAGCAAGTAAATAAACTGCAAATTAATATATTTGGGTATCTAAAAGTAATACAGTTGAACGTAAAGTTGTTATAGAAATCCAATATGGATTACTCAAAGAAATTTTTGGGAATAGCTATCAAAATATTCTCATTGAAGAAGACGTAACGCCTTCATGTTTTGCTTAAAATTGAAGGCAGGATTAGTGTTTTACCGATGAAACAAATTAAAAGTATTTTCCCCCACAAAGAATTTTGGTTCCCGAGGAGCAGACGCTTTTTTCCCCTCAAAAGTAACTCTAACCTCCTAAGCCGATCCATTTAACATTTTGTGGCATCTTTGGAAAACCGGAAGAGGTTTCTCAGTGTCAGTATTAGGTAATTTGCAGGAAGTGGACGGTGTAAGTCCGCAACCACGAATCTCGTTTGCGGTGTTTGAAAATCTCCGCTCTTATTTTATTTTTTTAAAAGAGAACAAAACGACATCATTCCTTGATGTTCTCGCAGAATTTTTTTTTGTTCAGGAAAAAGAAATCACGGCAGTTTTTAGGAATTGCCATTTAAAAAATGAAGTATGACAGGAAGTCTGCCGCGGCGCAAACCGAGATGCGTGATTCCATAATTACACTGTCGAAGTGTCTAGTGCAGCGTAGCGTAGGCTAGTTGCTACTTACCAAAAAAAAGCAAAAAAACCCTCACGAATTCAACGCTCATGAATTCACGGATGACCTCATAGAAAAAACTTACGTACTTGCATTCATGTTGCGTGTTACCGTTCTTGGAACCATGGGTGCACTAGGAAGCGGGCGTAGTTCTTCCTAAACTATTCAATGCAATCATTACGTGCTCTACACATTATTCGAAGTTTGGCTGTGTGTTTAACCGTGAAAAATAATGACTGTCTCTTCCTGATGTGTTCTTTAAAGAAATTCTACTATGGACGAGCCACGCGAACACTTTTCACTTTTCTGTTCAGAGGTATGCCAATATTGTAATTTTGAATTTTTTGGCACTGAAGTCCCTATTCTCCTGGAGTTGATCGCAGTTTTCAAATAGTAACTTCGGCATTGCCGTATCCAGAAATTACTCTCGGGGGGAGGGGGTCTACTGTCGACAATTTCTCATGAAAGAGTTAGAGGGGGGCCATGGGTAAAAATTCATAAAACCCACGAA